GGGTTCGCAGAGGTTAAGAACACACAGCTAGCACGAAGTCAGAAAGAGCTGGAACGGAAAAGCTGGCTGAATGCCCACTTCTGCCCTCTTCCCATCAAAACAGCTGTCTTTCCACAGTGGCTACTTGTCAGCTGTTATCATGATTATTGTTACTGTTGTTATTATTATCACTGTCATTTTAAGTCACCCTTGGCACCCAGAAGCTCACACAGAACTTTCACTCCGATTCCCTCACCTTATCCCCAGTGCCTCTGTGAGGCAGACAGGCAAGGCAGGGCCTGATGACCCATCGCGGCACAGAAGAAAACCTAAGCCCAGAGACCCACGGCCAGAAAGCAGCAGAACCGAGCCTGGAAACCAAGTCTTAGAACATTTCATCCCCACTTTAGACTTATCTGCCGAACTCCTCCTGGCAGAGACTAGGTCTGATCCGTCACCCGCTTCCTTCCCTTGGCCCAGGCTGGTACTACAGAAACGTTAGTTGAACCGAGCAGAGTTGGCCTGATTTGAAAAACATGAAAGTTTTGCGCGGAGTGAGATGGCCAAGAGAAGCAGCCCCCCACATGGAGCCTGCACAGGGTCTGGCCACAGCTGCTTTCCTCCAAGTCAGGCTGAGGTCCGAGGGGCCTTTAGCCATGTCCTAAGGCCAGAGAGCGGCCACTTCCTCCAGGAGCTCACTCTAGTGTCTCTTCTTCCCCTTTTGTGAGTTCAGCTCAGCTCGGGGTCAAGGAGCCCCATTCCTGCTTACCTCCCTGTCCCATTCCACACGGGAACTCTAGCCAGGGCCAGGCCCCTTCCCATCATGTCCGGCCTCCACTCTGGCCCTGTCGGCCATCAGGCACTGAGCCTGCTGCTATGCGTGACTCTAGGCACCCATCACCACAGCCATGTTACCTCCTGCTGCCTTCCTGTTCCCTCACAGGGCAGGACAAAGACGACTCCTTTATTTTCAGAGGCAATCCTTGCTTCTGTGTCCTGGATCCCATCTTCCTCCTCAGAGGCCCTGCTCCAAACCCTGGCCTCAGGTGCCCACCTCCCCAGACCCATTAAATCACTAGAGGTAAAACCTGGGCCCTGAATGTCTTAAAAGCCCTCCAAGTGATTCTAATATGCACTCAGGGTCTCGAGAACAACCTACCTTTAAGAAAAGAGAACTAGAACACAATAAAATACAATAGAATTGAATTGAACAGAACAGAACATAATATAATAGAAAATAGCAGAGTGCTTGGCACATTACAAGGGTAAGCATTGTTTCTTAAAAGTCATGTTCCCATCGTGTGTGTATGGGTGTGAGTGGGTGTGTCATCCTGGGTCATGATGTAACTTTATTTCTTGCTGTAGAAGATGGTAATTTTTAATTTTTATTTTTGGAAAACATTGCTCCAGTTCCTGCCTGAGCTTGTGATTCTCCTCTACAGTCAAGAATCCTCGAGGAAAAATCTTCCCTCACTGCCTGCTCTTTATCTTCATCTGGCTTCGACAGCCCCCATCTCCAACATTCCACTAAAGCTTCTGGCTGAGGTTTCCCAGGTCTGTCCCTTCCACACTCAGTGGCTTCTGCTCAGGTTCCTCATCCTTCCACCTGTCTGTAGGGTCGTGTGAATAGACAGTTCTCTTATTCCTGAAATTCTCTCTATCCACAGAGACTGTGCTGTCTTCCAGATTCTCCCGAGCGTTCCTCCTCTCTCACCTGCTAACGCTCTTCCTCCCGACGCCTACATATCTTACCCTCAGTATTCTCTCAAGCTTCTAACTTCCTGTTCTTTCCACTTCCATTTTGACTTCCTCTCCTTCCAGTCAATGGCTTTAAGTACTCCATGCATGAGACTCCAAATCCGTGTTCCCACATTTCCCCTCTGGGGCTCCTGCCACGCAGTTTGCTGGCTTATGTGCCTGCCTCCTGGAAATGGGTTAGAACTCAGGGAGGGTAATAGTGACAGGGATCAATTCACAGTCACACATGATGTGACCACTGCAGGCAGGCAAGGCAAGCAAAGGAGGATTTATCAACTGCATTTTCCAGAGAAAGAGAAACAGACTCTGAGAGGCTGAGGGACTTTTCCATGGTCAGTTATCATCCATGGTGGAGAGGGTTCCAGAATCTATGACTTCAGGCTTTAATCCAGAGCTCTGGCTCTTAACACTATGCACTGGACACCGAATATGTTCAAAAGTGAAGCCACATGTTATTCCTGAAACTAAAGCTTCTCTAACAGACCTGTGAATCATTAGGAATGCTTTCTAAGGCCAGTCTCAGTGGCTCATGCCTATAATCCCAACATTTGGGAGGGCGAGGCAGGAGGATTGCTTGAGTCCAGGAGTTTGAGACCTGCCTGCCCAACATAGTGAGACTTCATCTCTACAAAAATTACAAAACATTAGCCAGGCATGGTGGATGCAACTGTAGTCCTAGCTACTCGGGAGGCTAAGGTGGGAGGATTGCTTGAGCCTAGGAGGTCGAGGCTGCAGTGAGCTGTGATCGTGCCACTGCATTCCAGAGTGGGCAACAGAGCAAGACTCCATCTCAAAAAAAATCAAAATTAAAAAAAAGAATGCTTTTTAAAACAGCGATGTCTAGAACCCTCTTCGAACTCACTGAATTAGAATCTCCTAGAAGAGCTTTTTGTTTGTTTTAACTTAATATTTTGAAGTAATTATAGATTCACAAAATTGTACAAGAAGTTTTCATGTGCCCCTCACCCAGTATTCCCCAATGGTAACGTTGTACACAACCACAGCACAATATCAAAACGAGGCCACTGACACGGCTACAATCCACAGAGCTTGTTCAGCTTTCTCCTTATACAGGCAGGCACTGGTTTGGGTGTGCATATATAGCTCGATGCAGTTGTGATGACAAGTACAGCTTTGTGTAACCAATACCACAATCAAGATAGTTTACTGAACCATCACCACAATGCTCTAGAGATTTGGTTTTGAAAGTTCTTGGGTGCTGCTCGTCTGCATCCCTGATGACGGACTACTGCACCAGGGCATTGCTCCTGCTGCCTGCCTCTTCTGGGGCAATGCACCGCCATCCTCTAAATGACCCTGGCTTGAAACTCTGAGCTGTCATTGACCTCCCCGCTGTTGGCCTGCCTGCCCATGGCTTCTCAGTCAAATGGTCCAACAGATTTTTCCTTCATAATACCTCTCAGGCCCATAACTTGTCCCTGACTCCAGGCCTCTTGACTTCTCTCTACTGCTGCAATAGCCTTCTCATCCATTTCCCTTCTTCAAGATGCCCCAGCCAATATCATAACGCATGCCCAAATTCCTCCATTGCCCAGCTCTGACCCCGTCATTCCTCTGACCAAAAGCTTTAGATAGTTATTGCCATTTACAAAATAAAGTTCAAACTCTTTAAGTTCAAATAGGAAATCCTCTATATCTGATTCACTTTCCTTATCTAAATTTCTCAAACTCAATATCAGCCTTTTCCATATGGCTTATAGTCCAAATGGTATCCTTAAGGACATGATAAGGTTCTCACCATAGGGAAGAAATGAAAGGCTCTGAGATTTCTTCCTCCTAGTGCTCCATTCTCTTCTCTCTTGTTATGTGAGAAGTTGTGCCTCTTGCTTGGGGGATGTTTTCATCCTCGAATGCTGGTTCTTCCATGCTGTGCCTCCTTACAATGTAAGACGTGAGGAGGATCAGCAGGCCGAGGTGAAGTCCAGGGATAGAGTGTGTGGGGCAGGCTAGGCAGGCTGTCTGGCGTTAGTCACTAGGGGATGGGAGTTTTCTTAGGCATTAGTTTTTTGGGTCCCAGGCTAGATGATGGTAGGCAGCCATCAGAGACAGGAGCTGAGCCCTTCCTGTCTCCCTCGTGATAGACAATTACCTTTAAGACTATGTGGCCTATTTGCATCCTTGATGCCTTTTCCTTTCTTCATGTCCACGGAACGATGAGAATCAAATGATTCTCCAGCAGTGCCCTTCAGAAATTTCTAAAATCCCCTCACAGCACTGCTCCCACACTTCTTACCATATGATGATAAAATGAAAATGAAGATTCGCTTTCTCAGATTAAATACGTTTCAATTATCCAGTGTGTTTCAGCTTTAATTGATAACAAATCACAAATTGCCCATCTGAACTTCTCATTACAGCAACTGATTCACTAGGAAATTTACTACCTGACACCAGAGAAAGCTCAAAAGATAACACAAGCTCAGTGTTTCTGTGACACAGCGACCCAGAAGTCTATTTTGAGAAATCATGCGTTATCAGAAGTACATTCATATAAATGGTCCTGTCAAGAACACTGGTTTTTCAGCTGTCTCCAAATGTGGTCTTTAAGTCTGGAATGGTATATGATGGTACATGGGGGTGCAAAGAACCAGAGACCAAGAAATGTGCACCAGGGAGAAGAGGTGGCTAGTAGTGCTAGAGAAAGACAGTTAGTGATGTCATGGCCTCAATGAGGTGTTTGCAGGCCACCCAGGGCCTGGCTAGGGACAGATGAAACAGGGAACAGGGGATCCAGCAAAGAGGCTAGACATTTGACAGGTCTGCTGCTGTCACTGAGTTACATGTCCACTCCCATCCCCATCATCACCACCACCACAACCTCCATCACCACCAGCACCACCATCACCACCACCACTGCTAACATAACACCAGTGAACAATCTTCCAGGCAGAGGCTGAGGAACCCTACTAGGTGAAATGGTGCATCATGGAAAAGAGTCACTGGACATGTTCACTGTGTACATGGTAGGGTAGGATGTCAGGGCCTTCTATCTTATCATATTGCACTGGAATATGGGAGGGGAGAGTAGGCAGCCAGTGAGAAAAAGCCTAAGGACCAGACCCCTCTGGGGTGCAGAGGCCGTGCTCGGATGCAGTGAACCTTCCGAAGCAGTGGCCACCATGAATTTCTCATCTATACTCCAGAGAAAAAGCAGCCACAGACAGCCTTGAGCAAATGTGAACCATCGGCTTCGATGTCATCCAGGAAGCAGGGCTTGGGCCCTGGGAAGTTCTGACACTCACCGTTACTGCTGTTGTCATCCACCAGGATGATCTCCTTGAGCAGATGCGGGGGCGTGCGTTCAATGGCTGAGTGGATGGAGCGCAGCAGCACCGAAAGTGCTTCATTGACGAAGATGAACACGATGCTCACCTCCGGCAGGCTGTCAGGAAATGAGAGGTTACGGCACCTGCAAAGAATAGCCAAGCACTTAGATTTGCGAGCGACTCAGCTAGAGTCACCTCAGGAGCTGACCCACCCCGTGTCCTGGCTCCAGCTTTGCTGGAGGGCTCAGGAGTCCAGATTCTTCCAAGGGCCCCTTCTTTGATGCACTTAAGATGAGCCCTAAATGTCCAGCAGTAAGGCCCACAAGCATTGAAACCAGTTCACCCCACACCTGAGTTGAATTTGTCAGTGACTACGCCAGCTGAACAGTAATGCCATGAGCACTTAGGACAGCAGATGATAGCTGGCAGGTAGTCCCCGATTGTTTACTAGAAGAATGACTGAATATTTCTAAATCCAGTAGAATGGGAAATGCAACCAAAGTCAATTCGTAGTATTTCCAAAATGGCAGCCAACACCTAGGTGAGGCCAGACCTCAGGCACCCAGCCTCAGGAGACAAAGATGCCTCCTCCCAGAGGCTTCTACTGCCAGAATCTACTTCCCTTCACTCCAGAAGGCATACTGCCTGCGACTTCTCCTGCTTCTCGCTCATCACAGAAATCCAGTTTCCAGAACAGGGTTGGAGCTAGAAACAGTGTCAACATGAGGAAAAAGTAGAAGGACCAGGTCCAGTCTCATTTCACAGACGGGGAGACTGAGGCTCAAAGAGGTTGAGTTCCCACCTATGGCTGCATTCTCAGTCAGCTACCATGACAGAATCCCAACTCTGGTCCTCTGACACCTGCACCAGGATCTCTCCTTGAAGGAGAAATGGCCATGAAAGAGAATGCCCCTAACTGGTTCATTTCCCCCTAGCTCTGCTGAAACCCTGAAGCCATTTGGTGGTCTCTTGAGGACTTGAGGTATTCCCCATATGAAGAGGAACACAGTTCTGAAATCAGACCCCATGAGAGGCCAGACAATGGAAAGTGCCATGGCTCCTAAGGATAGTTCCCTCCTCCGCAAGCATAGTCTCTATGGGCAGGAGACCACTGCTGGTGCCCTTCCCTGCCTGACACTAAATGCTGTTCTAGAAGGCACTAAGCTCCCATTTTCCGTGTAGATGAATGAAAGAATGGAGCAGCAATCACAGCCTGTCCCAGGCCCTGGGTTTGGAGAGGAGGGTTCCCACTGAAGGCTCCAGGGGTTTAGGGCTGGTGACCATGTTCCATTGCTCCAGAGTGGGAGGTGCAGCCAGGTCAGAACATGCAATAATGAGCATAATTGCACGGGGCTTCTGCTCGTCGGTAATTAAAGTGTTGCAGAATAGGAATGGGCCTGCTCTTCTTTAATGAGGAAGGCTGCAGGATAACCAGCATTGAGCAATTTGGAGAAATCACCATGGGGCCCCAGCCTGCTTAAGAGCATGAGATTAATAAACTAAGATCAGCGTCTCTATGGTTACCAGAAATTTACAGAAACTTTTCCCATTCTATTTCCAGCTCTCCTTCTCTCTCGCCAGAGAGGAATGAGGGAAAGAAAGAGTTGAGTCTTTTCCCAAATCTACTTCGTACTTGTGATTTTAATAAAACCAAGTTAATAGATTGGTGTAGAATTCATTTGTTCGTGCATTTAATGGAATAGATATATATTGAGTATCTTCCTCTAGGCAGGTAGTCTTACAGGCACTGAGGGTACAGTAGGAAGTGGACACAGTCCCACAGTCCCTGTCCTTATGGAGCTTATGCTTTGACAGAGAAACAGATAAATATGGAAGAAAAAATACAATTTCATATAAGTGCTAAGATGAAAAGAAACTCTAGGCAAGAGAACGGGATGGTACCCTGGCAGCTGTTGTACGAGGAGTGGTCAGGAAGGACTCTCTGAGGAAGAGAGGTTGGATCAGAAACTTAAATGGCATGCAAAAGTGAGTCGTGCAAGGGTTCTGTGGGTCCAAAGGAACAGTGCTGTGGCTGAAGAGGAGGGAACCAGCTGATTTGACAATGATGAAAGAATGAAGGGAATAGAGAGGGAGGTGAGGGGAGGAACTTGAATGAAGGAGAAAGACTGGCATGCCTTCTGAAGTTCATCAGATCTTTTTCAACATTTTAGAAAAGAAAACTGTGAATACAATTTTCATAACAGCAATTAAAAGATTTGTGGTTGACAGTCAAATAAGTCCTCTAGCTAGTATTTATTTATGGTGATCAAGACCAGCAGCTGGGCTTTCCTTAGGCACGGAAACTGACAGAGATGAGTATTAACACACACACCATTTGTTAATTGCATTTAAAAAGTAATACCATATGTGGCCAAACAAATAGCACATGAATTCTTCTTTTATATAAAGTATAATAGACAGCTCCCAAGAAGGCCAGTGGATTGGTACAAGTTCACTGTCCTCCCTGCTAAACTCCACCAGCAATGAAGACTTTGCTTCTGTATCTCTCTGCACTTCCCCAGGGGGTCTGCTCTGCGTTCCCAGAGCCTCACTATCCAAATCTCCAGGGTGTTCAGAGATGGGGGTTAACTGTTTCCGCCTACTCTCTTCCCTTCTTAATTCTGAACATAGTGCCCAGTCTCCCCCATCTGAGGAAACCAATTTTAATTCCTCCCGGCAGCAGCCATGATGGTTTGAGCTGCCAGTCTCTGGAAGCTGGTCTCCTGATGGTCTTTCTCCAGGCAGAATGAAACGCTGTATTTGTTTAATAAGCTAAGCCCTGCTGATCACAATTTTCGCATGAAAGACTTTTGAACATACAGTTTTCCTAGGAAAACTCATTTGAACATAGCCGAACACACTTTCTAGGGCGTCACATTCAAACCTGTTTATTGTCTGCCCCGCTCTACTAGAATGAAGCCCCCTGACAGCAGGAACTTTGCTTTTGGACTGTGCTGTCTCCTAACCTTGGACTACAGTCTGGCACTTAGTAGGCACTCCATGAATGTTTACGGAATGAAACAAACTTAACGAGCTTGCTTATTTTATCTACGGCCTACATTTTGAGTGCCTGCCGCTGATGTCGGACTGCTCCTCTTTCTTACAAACCTCCTCCCTTGGAAGGAGAGTCAGGTCCTCCCCCCGCCAGCAGGCTCCTGTTCTCCTGTGCTCCCTCCTCCTGCAGGAATGGCCCCAATTCCTCACATTGGAAGTCTCCAGAAGTGTTCAGTTTCTTTACACTGTAATCCCTCCAGGCCAAATGCCCTGACCTCCTTAAATCCTTCTTTTCTCTTCTCTCCTGGGACTGCTGGGGCCTCCTGGCGATAGCCATGCTGCTGCTGTGGCCTCTCTCTTGGCATCAGGAGACACCTTCCCTCAGCCTTCGGTTTCTCAACACCTGACCTAAGGTGGCCCTGGGTGAGCAGAGCAGAGAGGTGAGGGGCAGGCAGGATAAGGAAGATGATGTGGGGGGATTGTTTTAGGGAAAGCGTTTGAAGGGGATGAAGTCACCCAGGTGCTGTTCCCAGCTCTGCCCCACCTTGCTGTGTGACCATGAACGAGCCACCTTCCCTCTCTGCTCTATGTCTTGGTCACAGAATAAGGAAGTGGGAGCAAAGGATCACTCAGATGGCTTCTCTCCACAAGATTGAGGCTCTTATATCTCACATGTTTTCCAGCTTCCCCTCCCTCCCGACCCGCAGATGCCACAAGAAACATCCCCTTGCTACCATCATGACTACATAGGGTGACCAACTCATCCCAGTTTGCCCAGGACCTTTCCAGTTTCAGCACTGAAAGTCCTAGGCACACCAAGTCAGGCGGTACCCCATGCCTATACCACCAGCTGTGAGGGCACAGACTGGCCTTGCTCACACCCTCCTGCCCACTGCCCCACACCATGATGCAAGCAGCAGGTCTTCCATTGGTATCTGTTGAATAAATTCCCTTTCAGATTCCCCAAAACACCTTTTCACCTCCACACTGAAGCAGAATGTACATTGCTGAAGGGTAGGGGCAAAAAGAGGGAAGAAGAAGAGCATGTCAAGAAAGACATCTACATCCTTCCTGGTCATGCCATCCTCATCACTGCAGACACTGAACTCAGGAGAAGGCTTTGCGCTGTAGTCTGAGTCACCTTGAAAAGAACATGCCTCCAACAGCTGTGTGGGAGAGGACTGCTCTGGACCCATGCCCAGCGCTTTTGCTCTAGAGTCCAGCCACTTTCTTGGCCTGGCAACCCAGCACTGACCCGGTGGACTTTGCTCCCAAATCTGCACTGCTAAGATGCCCTCCCAGAGCAGCTGGATTTTCCAGGATTGGGCCACCCACACACTCTGCCCCAGTTCTGCCACAGTTGGGACCCTCCCAGAGCCTCCCTCCCCTCTGCCCTGATGTCTGCCTCTGCACTTGCCTCTCTGCTCACCTCTGCAGGGAAGGGCTGAGGACACGGATCTCTGGGAGTCACACTCTGGGACCAGCCCTTCTGTGTTGAAGCTCCTCGAGAACTCACAACTGCACGAGACTGAGCCCATGCTCACTTTGAGAACAGGAACATTCTCCTGTAAAATTAAGCCATAAAAACCTCCCTTTTTACTTTTATTCTTGTTCAAAGCTGAGCCATTTTCCACTAGAGATAAAAAACAAGGCATTTCTGAGAGGGGAGGGATATGACTGTCTAATAAGCTGGAATTGATGGTCATGACAGACTCCGTTCTATTGAGTTCTGCACACAGAAGGAGATGCAGGGATGGGGAGCAACAACTTAGGGGGCTTCTTTGGAGATATGTATGAGGAAAATTTACACCAAGGGCTTCAGTGCTGTACGATCATGAGAGGCGGGGAAGCAGTGGAGGAATAAGTGAGGTAAAGCCCAGCTCTCGGCCACCTGATAAGACCCAGGGCAGTGGCCAGACCTCATGCGCTACAGCCGGACACCTCCATCTTGGATTGGCAGACCCTCCCCTCTTTGAGCTCAGCAAGTCTGCAAGGTCCTAGTCTATCAGAGTGAATTGTTCATAGAGACTGCTTGACCTGGGGGTGGGGGATGGGAAGAGTGAGCAGGCCCCTTCTAGAATGAAGATCAAAGTAGACTGTGAACTGGGGTCTGTCTGCCAAGACGCACTGGGAACAGCATCCAGCTATG